ACCCCCTGCACAGCTTAACGTGTATTCGGTTTGTTTACTATTTCCACTTCTGTTTCTGGACAAGATTCTGAAAGTGTTGTTTCAAGAAGATGTAGCCCCCCCCCCCACCTCAGGTAATGTTTCCAAAACTTTTGACCTTTTTGCACTATGTTGCCAAGCGATTTAGAGTAATCTGTTCATTTTGGTCCTTCTTTATTTGTGTTTCTAAAACTACGAATTTGCAAATTTTGGCAAATTCTTTTCTGAAGGACCTGCGGAAATAAACTAGTCAAATTCCCTGGCCAGTGTTGGACCCACAGTTCAGAACGTAGCTGCAGCCTACACAAGAAAAGGCAACCTAGCTACCATGCAAACACCTGCATCAAAGCATATCTACAGTGGGGTCTCTACTTAAGAACTTAATCCGTATTGGAAGGTGGTTCTCAAGTGGAAAAGTTCTTATGTAGAATCTGCATTTCCCATAGGAATGCATTGAAAACCATTTAATCCGTATCTGCTCTTTTCCGTCCATAGAAACTAATGGGAAGCTGCTATTCCGCCTTCTACCACTAGAGGGGGATTTTTTTTCTTTTCTTTTCTCTTCGGTCAGGGAACCGTGTTAAAAGCACTTCTGACGAAGCTAATTTTGAAGCAATGGACTGAAAACCAATTAATCCGTTCTGGCTGTTTTTTTGTTATGTAGAGGTGCATTCGTACATTGAAGCATTAATTCCCATAGGAACTAATGCAAAGCTGGTTAATACGTACTCTACCACTAGGGGGAAATTTTTTTTAACCTAAAATGACCTAAGGTTAAAAAAAGAGCAGGAAAGTTTTTTTTTCCTGTTCTTATCTGGATTTTTGTTCTCAAGTAGAAGCAAAATTTAGCAAATGGAGCTGTTCTTAAGTGGAATTGTTCTTAAGTAGGGACGTTCTTAAGTAGAGACCCCACTGTAGTTCTGATTCAGTTAGCGCTCCATTTTCTTGGAACGTATTCTGAGCATGAAGTAGAGTATGACTGTCTACCTCAACAAACTACGAATCCCACTATTCCTTAGGATAGAGCTATGTCTGCTGAAATAGGATCAAACTCATTGGATAGTCCAGTATGGATGCAATCTTTCATGTAAACACCTATCCATGTAGACCAAGAGTGAGCAACCCGAGGTTCTCAAGATGTTGGTCAACTGGAATTCCTATGATCCTTCATTGTTGCTAAGCTGCCTAGAACCAATGGGCTTTGTGGTTTAAAGCAATCTGGAGGAACTCTGTTGCTTCCCCCCCCCTACTTCAGTGCTTTGCAAAGACCTTGCTTTATGGATCCCTTGCTTTAGAGTTGTCCGGAAATTGCAGCCTCTCGGGCTGTGGAACTCCCTCCCACAAGATGTGGATGCATACCAGACGTGGTGGCCATACTCGTCTTTGGGTGTTCTGCCAACATTATACGGCTAGATGGGTGGTATATAAATTTAATGAATTAGTTCATTAATAAAAGATGTATTTTTTTGTCAAATTGTGTGCTGTTTGTCGTGAGTGTTTGTCGTATTTTTATACTAGACAGAGAAATAGGGCTGTGAGCACAGGGGCAGTTTGTGAGCTGGGACAGGAGGACACTGCTGGCGCCTCGATGAATCTGGATCCTCAGTTCCCTATTACAATTAATTCCCTATGGGATGCAAAACCACAGAATATATTTTGTCTGGGATTTCTCCTCTACCTGAAAACTGATCAATGTTGGCCTTTCCTTGTAGATGCAGCCGGTGGACCTCCTGGGCATCACGATTAAATCCTTGGCAGAAATTGAAAAAGAGGTACGTTTTGCTCTAGTTCCCGGGTGTTTTCAGCTAGGCCTGTACAGGATTCTGTTGAGAAGCTAGTTTGGGGCTTTTGAATGGTTCCCCGATTCATTCCGGAACGATTTATGCCCTGGGTATAAAATCTCCTGTAGACCTCCATGGGAAAACCAGAATAACGGTGACATAATTTTTTTTTTTGCCTTTGCACAAATAGACTTGCAATTTGGGGGGGGGGGGTCATTATCAAATTTCAGACTGCTAAATCCAGACATTTGTATATTAAACATGAGGAAAGGGTTGGTTGCTTTTTTTTTAATGTCCAGAGCAATTTAATCCCTGTCCAATTTGATTTTTTTTTTTTTGCTCTGGGTCTAAATCTATAAACTCACTTTGTTTTGCCTGGAACCGAATCCGGCTCGTTTGCTTTGACCAGGAGCTGATGCAGATCAGTCTGATAAACAAGACCATCTCGGTCCGAATCCAGTCCACAGCCCTGGTTTACTGCTGGATAAGAAATCTTCTTCTGTCTCTCTGGGTGGTATAGGTTCCATATAGTTGAAATTCCATCACCCAAATTCCGCAACAACAAAAAAAGTACTTTTTAAGTTATAAAAGTTATAAAAATGTATATACTTTATATAATTTATTTACCATATTTTTCCGTGTATAAGACTATACTTTGGCTAAAATCTTTAGACTAAAAATTGAGGGTCTTATACATGGAAGTAAGCTGAGGAGAAAAAAACAAGTGGAGGGGAAAGCAGGGATCAAAGCAATCCTGCAGCGCTTTGATCCCTTTCCCCCTACACTTGCTAAGCCCCACTTAGATTTCTTAATTTTGGATTAGAAAAGTGTCTTATACATGGGGGCGTCTTATACACAGAAAAATACTGTAATTTTAAAAACTGGTGAGAAGAGGGAAATTAGGTGCTTCCACGAAGTGCTAAATATCTCAGCAGCTGCTTCGTCTTCCACAGTCCGATCAGGTCCTTCCCGGATGGTGTTTGACATTTATTATCTATCCAGAGCCTATTTTATGTTTCACCTCGGCTCAGAAAGGTTCCTGGAGCAGCTGTCTGCAGGCTATGAAAGCAAGGCAGGTTTTGTCCACAGATGGGTGTCTATAAAGACACAACAACAAAGGAAAAGCAGATGGGGAGGGAAGAAGGAAAGGCAAGCACTTGACGGCAGAATCTGACTCTCCCATCTCTTTTCTCTCTGGGGAGAGAAATCTTGAGCGGAGGATTGGATGACCCGGGTAAATCGCTGGGCGGCATTGATAAGGAACAATCATTGGATGGAGCACTAGGATATCGACTGTTGTTTTCATTTGCCTATCGTTACACCATCGCTGTCGGCAAAAGATGTGGAAATGGAGAAGGCATCATGTGGTCTTGGAAAAGACCCCAAGGCTGGGAAAGGTGGAAGGCAGCAGGAAAAGAGGAAGATTGGATGCGAGACGGACTGACCCACTCAAAGAAGCCACGAGAGCTGAGTAGGGGCAGTTGAGGACATGACATTTTGGAGAGGGCTCCTTCACTGGGTCACCAGAAAGCCCCTTTAAAGGGGCCGTGCTGTGGGAACTAGGCTTCCCTGCTAATGCATGTGTTGATCTCTTAAAATCAGCTAACCAAACGTTTCAGAGCAGGTGCTTGTGGGCTGGCATCTTGGCAGAGCCTCAGATGGAGGCACAATCACTGGGAGGAAAACCTTCCAGCCTTTTAGATCCTCTCTGTCGGGTTGTTTCCTACACTCCACGGCTTTTTTCCCCTCTCCTCCCTTGCTTCCTTTTAGCAGCCATGCCTCCAGAGTGCATTATTCACATGTCGGGGTCTTTAAAAAGGAACAAATCTGCTAATTGGGGGAAATAGAATTCCATCTCTCTCTTTCTCGTTCTCCTTTAAAATTTTGGTTCCAGAAACTCAGCATGGAGTTTCGGCTATACCCCTCTTTCCCCAAGAATGCCAAATGTCTGGCGAAATCCATCTTGATTATAATTGCTCTTACCCACGCATATCTAATTTGTGTCTTTTTAAGTGTTAATTAGTAAACAGTTTGAGCTGACATCTTTATGCGTTTGCGGGTTTTGAAAAATCACGCTCGCCGCGGCGGTAGCTGCAGGCGGTTGGTGCTCCCCACAACAACGCGACATTGATACGCAATTAACGAAGACAGGGGTACCAATCCTTTCTTTCCTTTAAAAAAATTTTTTTAAGCCTTCTAGAAAAGATGCTTCCTTGAGCCAACTCTCCCTCGTGCTGTTTATTTGCATTTATTTATTTATTTAGTGGCTTTGGGGGGGGGGAGAAATACAGGTCCACCTATCACTCCCATGGCCCCATCTCCGTTGGGCAGGAATTCGAAGGTGTGCCGAATATTTCACAAAGCAAACAATACTTGAGTATTTTGCGTTCATGCGGCACCATCTAGCGGCCGTATCATGGATTGCGTCGGGAGGGGGGGAGGAGAAGAAGCGCTCAGCTTATTTGATCTAAGAGCAGACCCTGGCCCTCTCCCCAAAATTGGGGTGGAAACCGAGGAGACAAAACCTTTCAATTTCATTTGGAAGACCAAATATTTATGGAGGCCTGCAGCTTATAAGGAGAGTCGCTGCTCCTGGAGGTTTCTACATATCGTAATTCTGTTTTTCCACAACTGTCAATTTTTTTGCTGATGAGCCGGAGGCTCTTTAAATGGCTTGAGGTCACAAAAACAGTCTTGAGGGCTTCCTTAAGCCTGTCAGCTTTGCCATCCCCGTTCTTCCACGAACAATAGCCAAGAATTCCAACTTTGTGCCTCATCAGATTCTGAATTCCAGGATTCCGTATCATTGACCCCGAAGAATTAAAAAGGAATCGAACTGCGATAACTACATCGTGTAGATACCCTGTGAGCGTTAACTTCTCTTGCAGAATAGACTGAACATTTCCTACAACCGGATGCCAAACCTGCTTTGGCATGGCTTCCTGCGTTGAGCAGGGGGTCAGACTTGATGGCTTTAGAGGCCCCTTCGAACTCCTTGAATCTGGGATTCTTTGCTCTGTTTTCATGTGATATTGTTAGTGAGCGCTAAATGAGGGTCAGGGACCAACCAGACTCAGGAGCCTTGGTTATGAATCTCTGGTTGACGATGGAAACTCCATGGTAGTAAAGCCCTCCTTAAATCTTTCATTTACTTTGAAAATGCTATTAGGGTCACTATAAGTCCATTCTGACTTCAATACAAAGAAGTGATGGTCGTCCTTTTCCGTCAACACCACCTTCTCAAGCTCTTTGGTCCAGATGAGCAGCATCAGATCCCCTTCTCTTTAAAATCTAGGCTGTTTGGACCTCAAAGGAAAGGCCAGACGCTGGGTTTCCGAAATGCTGAGACCTGAGGCCGCCTCCCTTCATCTGACCTATAGCGGCCTTGCCTTGTAGCCAAGGGGGGAGACGTTCTGGGGCATGGTGATTTTGGAGAGGTCATTCATTGCAGGAGATTCGGAAAAGATAAAACCTCTCGCAATGGGCTCTTCGGATCTTTCTGGACTACAAACACCATAATTCCCCATCCCAGGAGTTTTGCCTAACTTATAGACACCGTACAAGCACTCATATGTGATTCATCTCAGTGAAAGGCCTAAATGAGAAGGCTTTGAGGCCTAGCTAGGCCTAGCTTTTCCCCCCAACTTCCTGTTCCTGCCCCAGTGCTACCTGGGAGCTTGGCCGGAGCTAGGCCTAGCTAGGCCTCCATGTTTTACAGTTCAGGCCTTTATCACATTCAGGTGTTTGTTAAGGCAGTGGTCCTCAACCTTGGGCCTCCAGATGTTACTGAACTACAACTCCCAGAAGCCTTCACCACCACCTCTGCTGGCCAGGATTTCTGGGAATTGAAGTCCAAGAACATCTGGGGGCCCAAGGTTGAGGACCACTGTAAGGGTCTGGGAGAGAGGCAGAAAAATGATGTTATTTGTCAAACAAAACCCAAAAACCCATCAAATTCATCAGGAGGTTGCGTCTGGGAGAGAGGCAGAACCCCCAGAGTTGAAAAATGATGTTATTTGTCAAAAAAAAAAAACCCATCAAATTCATCAGGAGGTTGCATGAGTGCTGTAAGGGTCTGGGAGAGAGGCAGAAAAATGATGTTATTTGTCAAACAAAACCCAAAAACCCATCAAACTCATCAGGAGGTTGCATGAGTGTAGTGTTCCTATGGGTTCCTGGCCTGGTTGTGGGGATTTTGTGTGTGTGTGTGTGTGTCCTTGTGTATTTGTAAGATTAGTCATAAAAGTCATCAAGAGGATGCACACAGCCGGGGGTGGCTTCGTTCTTACAGAAAGAAGGGCTGCCAAGATGATGGCCTGAAATTGTGATTTTTTAAAAAAGTACTTTGGCTTTGCCACAAGATGGCAGGCGAACCCCATTCCTAGGCTCGAACTCATTGGCTAAAGTTTAAATTAACTTCACAAGCCGTTCTGCGAAGCCGCTTTTTTCATTTAATCCCAGCTACCAGGAATCCTTTGAAGGATGCATTGGGGGGGTGGAAATGACCCCAGAGTTGGAATTCTGTGTCCTGGCCCCCCAACCTTAGGAGGGGGGGAATCCAACGTCCATTAAAACAGATTTTTCCCTATGAAAAGGAGGCGATTTGAGGGGGTTGAGAAGAAGCAAGGGGCAGTTTGAGTGAGTGGACGTGCCAGGACCTGGGTCGGTTCTAGAAATCACTGGGGTAAGAAAAAAATTTCCCCAAAATGTTAGAAACTGCAGTTGGAACGGAGGCTGTCCTGCTTTGGGTGCATTACCATGAGAAAGCAGGATTCTCTAGAAAAAGACAGTAAAGACGGAAAACAGCAGGAAAAGAGAATGACCAAACACACCGGATGGATTGACTCCTTAAAGGAAGGATGAGCCACAAGCTCCCTTCTGACTCTGAAATCTTAACTGGGCTTACTTTTGAGTAGACATGGAGCCCGCATTCCCACCATGGATGGGGCTTGTCTGTATCGATCAGTCCATGGTGGGAGATTGAGCAGTCAGCCCATCTCTTACCCAAAAATAATATCCCTTAGGAAAAAAGAACGGGTTAGTAACAGCCACCGTTCTCTACTGAAGTTGTTTTTTTCCTTCTCAACAACGGCACGGTTTGGTCCTTTCCTGTGTGTCCCATTGAAATGTGATTTTTTTTCTTTCCTGCAGTATGATTACAGCTTCAGGACAGAACAGAGCGCCGCGGCCAGGCTGCCCCCAAGCCCCAGCCGATGCCAGCAGCTCCCACCGTCCTGAGAGCCCGTCAGCGCCTTGGAGATGAAGCACATATACTACTGAGAGGGGAAACCGATTCTCCTCCTTATCCTTGACACGTAACCTTCTCCCCCGACGTCCCGGACTCTCTCCTCCCGAAAGCAGTATTACTGGAAACTTGGATAGCAAAGAGATCTGTTTGTTTCTCTTTGGCTGATGATTTTCATCACTCTTTTTTTACAATGTAACTGCAGATCTCATTCTCTTCTCTTTTTTTAAAAAATGTACCTGTTGTTCTTTTGAAGACATTGATCAGACCGCGTTTACCCCTTTTCAGCAAGTTCTCAGACTCACCGATCTTCTCTCCATGTTGTAATTATTTTATTGCCCACCTCGTAACTGAATCAACATAGAGCTAAGCGTATGGACTGTCCAGTTCCTTCTTTTTCATTGTCTCCCCTGTTCATGGGGCTGCCGAGAAGTCTTGAAAATCAAGAGGGGGACCTCTTCTTCAAGACCTCCGGCACTATCACGGACGTCGCTGATACCAGGTCCTTGACTTCAGTGGCAGCTCCCATCCCGCCAGCAGTGTGACTTGTTTGAGGAACGAGATGAACACCTTCCTGTGCCCGGTTTTCGACTCCTGTGGATAAAATTGGTTTCTGAAACAGCAACATTACCTTTTGTCGTAAACTTATATCTGTCTCTCTAAACAATTTGGAGTTCGGTCCGTGTTTAAAACTCGTGTATTCAAATTAGCCATGGGCCATAACCTGTGATGGTTTCATTCCGCAGTGGCTCTTGGAGGAAAAGTAAGAGAACGAAGACGGTAAAATTCGTGCATTCAAATTAGACATGGGCCATAACCTCTGGTGGTTTCACTCCGCAGTGGCTCTTGGAGGAAAAGTAAGAAAAAGAAATCAATCTATGTTTTTTGCCTTCTCCACCATCAAAATCCTTATCGCCGGAATATGATCATCTTTTGTGGCCTGGATTTTCCTTTAGCTCATGAGGAAGCCTAGAATTGCACTCACTCTGCTCCATTCACCCGTCTCTGCCTGCCAAGCAGTTTTACTCACCCTTGGTAACTCAGTTTCTGAAATTTGGACCTTTTCTTCCCTAAAGCACCTTTTTTTTTTACAGAAGAAATATCGGTTGAGAGATTTCCCTAGAAGGCCGAGATGCATTAGGGTGGTGCTCTCTGAGAACTGCACGGGGAACCTCGAACGATATCCCTAGGTTTCTCCCCTGCCCGATAATACTTGAACAAACGAAAAAAGCCAACAAAAGAATGTGCCAGTTCATGCGCCCGTCTCTTTGAGTCTTCGTCCTGAGCAACCCACCGTATGTGCCTCCAGAAAAGCCTTCTTGGAAGGCCTCAAAAAATTCAGTTCTCCTCATCACGGCTGGCCCAGATTTGCTGGTCCGAGAACGGCTTTATGTTTCACTCTCCGGCATGCTCATGACGGGGTGTTTTCCGTCCTCTTCACTTCAGAGCCCTCAAATGCATGCTGTGGTGAAATCTGTTCCGTAAAACTTTTTTTTAAGTTATTTCGAAAAAGCCCGTGTGATCTTTTGTGCTGTTTACGGGCAATTACCTCCTGGCGAACCCGTGATAATGCAGACCTAATTTTCTCCTCTGAGGTCTCCTCTGGAAAACCATGTAGAAAGGTTCAAACATGGGACCTGTCAATATGGATTGTTTTGTACTGTATTAAAAAGCCTGTGGTGATGAAAGGGTAGCTGCTGTTGTGGGTTGGGGTGTGGGGTGTTGTTTTTTTTGGCTACCATCTTTGTTTATCCTTCTGCCTCCAGGAAATTAACACATAACAAGGAAAGAGTTCTAAGTTTTCTATTGCTTTACTCTTCAGAATTACCAGATTTTTCCGTGTATAAGATGCCCCCATGTATAAGACGCCCCCGCTTTTCTAACCCAAAATTAAGAAATCGAAGTGGGGCTTAGCAAGTGTAGGGGGAAAGGGATCAAAGCGTTGCAGGATCGCTTTGATCCCTGCTTTCCCCTCCACTTGTGTTTGTTCTCTCCTCAGCTTTCTTCCCTGTATAAGACGGCCCTCAATTTTTAGTCTAAAGATTTTAGACAAAAGTATAGTCTTATACACGGAAAAATATGGTACATTCGGCGGAATGGGAATCTTAAGAGGATGTTGACAATGCGGATATAATGTTGTTTCCTTGGGCAATATATGTACACAATGGTTGGATGTTTGTTTATAGCTCACGTTGTGGTCCTTGATGTGTCGATGGAAAGTTTACTCCTGGCTTCTTGCTGGTATGTAGGGGTCAAGTTGGGAATGACCAAGGACAAAAGACATATCTGCTATTCCCATAAGTTCTGTTGGATCAAGAAGTGGCTGTTGGCCATTGGTACAAGGCCTCACATCTCCAGTTAGAACATACACTTAGGGATTGATGATCACTGGGAGAATCTGACGGAAGAGACATCCGCATGCTAAATAGGCTAAACAGTACAGCTTAGTCTGAAGGGGCTTCAGATGTTCATCACAGTTACGCATAGCTCACTGGAAGAGTTTGTGCTTTATATGGGTTTGATCTTCACCATTTCCAGAAAGATTCAGGTAGGAAGCAGTGATGACTGATTACTCTCATGTTGCAGCAACATTTCATAAAAACCTGGAGGGAGCTGTCCAAAGTTCTGAATGTGTTGCAAAAAATGGGGTCCGGCATGTTGGCAAGCTTCCGGAAACTTCAGACTGAACCCCGGAATGGATTCCCCAGGCCGCCCATGATATAGGAGTGACCCGTCTCAACGGGCAGCAGACCGTGGGAAAGAAAACCACCCCCGTACCTGACGGCCCAGAGATCCGTGCTAGATGATACGGGATTAGAGGAACAAATTGTCCTATCCGATCAATGGGAGCGGAACAAGACACAAAGCAGAGAAAATTGCTAATATGGTTGGGAAATTCTTGGATGTTCCCCGACCCTAGCACGTTGGTCTGCACTGGTATCTTTTTCACTCTTTTCGGGGGGCATTAAATGGCCCCCAGGGACTAAGGTTTTGACAAATTTAAGTGGCAGTTGTACAGTGTTGGAAGTGAGTAAGGTGGGGGAGTCATGAGTTGTAGGCTCATCCCCCATCCGTGTGTGTTTGAAGAAGGAAATAGATGCGTCATCTGAATATTCAAGTTCCTTCTCTGCTAGCTGCCCAAATGTAGCTACGCAACTTGGTCATAACACATTGATTTCACTTGATCCCGCAGGGTCTAGAGATTGTAATTCAGTGGCATACTTAAGACTTCTGTGTTGGGGAATAATGGTATTTTCTACCACGGGGAAGTCTGATTGCTTCACCAGGCGAGAGATGCTACGATTCTGTAGGAGGGAGCCATGATTACAGCAGAATCAATCTGCTGTAATTGTGTAGTGTAGACACACTCCCACCAGCCACATACACAAATAGGTCTGTGCCAAGCAAAAAGAACCGACTTCACCATCCACGCTGGTCCTTCTCACCCAGGGACTAGAAAGGAGAGCCCCCAGAGGGATCCAAGGTGGGTTTTTTGTCTGAACTTTACAGAAGCTTTCCAAGGGTGCTGTGCCTACTTGCAGGATAGGATTGAGTGCCCATGGACAAGACCCCCAAAGTCCAGACTAACCGATTAACAGACGAGGGTCAACCTGAGTGTTTTGTAGCTGCCACAAAATGGAAGCCACACCATGGTCTACGGTCTACGAGCGAGAAAGAGTTTGGGACCGGAGCCTTCATTTATCTGCAAACTGGGATAATTTTTTTAATTATTCTTACAGGGAAGGATGGGCATAGAGTGAATATAATGGGTATATATTTGGGTTTTGGTTTTGATCCATACTAACGGTGGCTACCTCCCCTCTAGGGGAGATGTATGGCACAAAAGTACCAGAGTTGACCCTTGTCTCCCTCTAGGGGAGATGTATGGCACAAAAGTTAATCGATGTTTTGAAGCCAGTAGGTTTTCTCAAACAAAATATACATCTTAAATACTACTCTTGTCTAGACAAGGAAAGCATAGAAATTGTGTGCCACCTCTTATCAGTTGAATGTGTGTGTGTTTTGCTGTATGTACTTGGTTTTCTGTGTTATTCCAGCTTTCACCATAAGAGGGAGACACCAGAGGGTTTGGATCTGTGGTCAAATTTCATTGATGCTCCATCTGCTGCCATTCATATTTGGTCTTTCCCCCTAGAAAACACAGGCAAACACTAAGGGTCTTAACTAGATAAAGAGTCTGGGGCCTTGCAGAGGATGGCAGTATATGGTACTGCCTACAGGCCCTGGGGAGAAAGGATCTCATTGGCCTCCGGCTTTGGTTCGTGATTAAGGAAATGCTGACACCTCATGGCCAAATGCAGTAATGCAGGCGACCGAGAATGTCCATAAATTGAAATGAATGCATTCATTTTAAAACAAAATAAACTTGAAGTGTACACCCTTTAGGATCTTTCAAATCTAGCTCCATGACCACTACCCCGTATACTGGGGAAACTAACCACTTCAGCAGAAGTGTAGAAAAAGAGGTGGCTTTGTAGAGTGAGCTGGTCACTTTTCAAGTAGTACTTACACATGTTTTAACAAAGTGTGCCGTGAAAATTGTCGAGAACTTATCAGAGGCAAAAACAACACAAAACCCCACAACTGTCTTGGGAGTGATCAAACGTGGGACACGTTGCCGTCAGATCGTACAGGCGAAACCCAGAGCTTTTTTCGAAAGCAGCCGGGGAATCTTCTGTTGTGTCGTGTTTGTGCGTGCGTGCGTGTGTGTATCTTTTTGCTGAGAAAAGATGCTCTGCATTTTGTTTGTGATGTGACCGTGAATTAATGGTCCATTAATTCTATTACTATTACCCTTTTTTGTATTTATTTTAGGCGGCCTTCCTTGCATTTTACAAAGAAAAGTTTGTGTCTGAGAATTTAGTCTGTATTCTTAATATAATTTGTTAAATAATGATAATAAAGTCTTAACCGGTTTCTTTAGGGGTATTTTTTTCGTTCATACGTCAGCTCCCTGCATTTGGAAAGCCAGAAGCTATGGAAGAATGCTCATCTTGGGGTTAATATGCCACATGACCTTTCTAAGGATAGAACTTGTGCTCTTGACTTTGTGGAATCGGAAAACATCCAGAGGGTACTTAAAAATACTTGTAAAATGGGCAACTTGAGGAAAAGGTTAGAGGACAGCCCTTCTCCCTGAGGTGCTAGGTTTCTACATGCAGGGAATGCTCCATGAACAGGAGTATCTGGACATGCCATGCCCCTTCCTGAAGGTTCTACCTCACTCCACCCCAATATGTGGTTCATGGTGAAGGAGAAATTCTCCTGATTTCCAGGATTTTATGGGCATGATAGGATGAATGCGCCTTTTGGTGCAGACTGGATTTCTTGAAATGCTTGGTTTTTGAAAGCCAGGTGTTGGTTTTGGGGTAGTTTTTCATACATCTCAAGTTACCGGTCCTCATGGCTTTGAGTGGAGACTGGATTTCTTGAAATACTTGGTTTTTGAAAGCCAGGTGTTGGGTTTTGGGGTAGTTTTTCATGCATCTCAAGTTACCGGTCCTCATGGCTTTGAAGATTTAAGCTGGTGTGTGAGAAAAGCATCTCGTAGAATAACAATTGCTTAAAACACAGAAGTGGGAAATTTTCTTTCTGTGCCAACTTCTTGCGGATGCTGTGGTCTTCCTCGCGTCACCGTCTCCCTGCCCCGAGGGGGTTTCTCCCCTAAGCCACCCGCCAGAAGGGCAGCAGACGAAAAGTTTTCCTCCCCAGCTCGGCCCACCTAGGTATTCTAGCGTTTCTTTCTCC